TTACATGGATAAATTGTGTAGTGGTGGAGTCTGGGCTTTTAGTGTAGCCATCACCCAAGTAGTGTTCATTGTACCCATTAAGTAATTTTTCATCCCACACCCCCCTCCCACCCTTCCACCCTTCCGAGTCTCCAATGTCTATTTTTCCACTCTCTGTGGACACATTATTTAGCTCCCATTTGTGAGAACATGTGGTATTTAACTTTCTGAGTTACTTAATGGCCTCCAGTTCCATCCATGTTGCTGCAAAAGGCATGATTTCATTCTTTCTTATAGCTGAGTAGTATTCCATGGTGTATATATGAGACACTTTCTTTTTTCCTTTTAGAGATAGGGTCTCACTCTGTCACCCGGGTCGGAGTGCAGCGGCACAATCATAGCTCACCGCAACCTCGAACTCCTGGGCTCAAGTGATCCTCTTATCTCAGCCTCCCTAATAGCTGAGACTACAGGTTCGTGTACAGCAATCGGCTGATTTTTTTTTAATTAGTCTTTTTAGAAACAGGGTCTTTCCATGTTGCCCAGGTTAGTCTCGAACTCACGTGGCCCCAAGAGATCCTCCTCCCACCTTGGCCTCCCAAAGTGCTGGGATTTACAGGCATGACCCACTGCACCTGGTAGCATTGTCGTTTTAATTGGCATTTCTGTGATTAGTGACATGGAGCATTTTTTTTCATATACTTGGCCAACTGTATGCCTTCTTTTGAAAATGCCTGTTTGTGTCCTTTGCCCACTTTTTAATGGGTTTCTTTTGGGGTTTTGTTGTTGTTGAGTTGAGCTCCTTGTACATTGTGGTTATTAGTCCTTTGTTGGATGCAAGGTTTGCAAATTTTTCCCATCCTGTATGTTGTTTGTTCATTCTATTATTTCTTTTGCTGTGCAGCAGCTTTTTAGTTTATTAAATCCCGTTTGCCTATTTTTGTTTTTGCTGCATTTGCTTTTGAGGTCTTAATCATGAATTCTTTGCCAGGCCGATGTCCAGAAGTTTTTCCTAGGTTTTCCTCTAGAGTTTTTATAGTCTCAGGTTTTACATTTAAGTCTTCAACCCATCTTAATTTTTGCGTATGGTAAGGTCCAGTTTCATTCTTCTGCATATGGCTATCCAATTTTCCCAGCACCCTTTATTTCTGGGTTCTCTATTTCGTCACATTCATGTGTCTATTTTCATACCAGTACAATGCTGTTTTTGTTCCTGTAGCTTTGTAGTATGATTTGAAGTCAGGGAATGTGATGCCTCCATCCCTGTTCCTTTTGATAAGGGTTGCTTTGGCTATTTGGGCTCTTTTTTGGCTCCATTTGAATTTTAGGATTGTTTTTTCTAATTCTGTGAAAAATAAC